AACTCCCCTCTTCCCACCCACCTCCCAAATTCTCACAGCTTTGATTGTATTGATAAGCATGGTTTGACAAAATGTTTCCCAACTGTCAGGTTATTCTCACTGCCACAAAGAGGCTAGCTAGAACTTAAAAAGGCCAGGAGTTATTTTAATGTTAAAAAAAAGCTGATATGGCAACACTACTAGTAAAAAAGTGGGATACATCACAGAAACAAAAGTCTTTGCAGGCAACACTGTTTGGAAATAGTAAAACACTTCTGATGGGTGAAAAAAGTGAAACTCTAAATTATATACAATAGTAGCTAAGGGTGGCATTGAAAGTCTCATTTAATGTGACTCAGTTTAACTTGCCATTATCTATTGCTTATTTATTCAGATCTGTAATAACACTTATATAGAGACAAGATGTGTAAAAATGAAACATTGTGGAAAAACAGGTTTTCATATGAAACGCAAAGTAAAAGCTCTGTCCAATGTGGAATGTACCTACAGTCATTTTGTTTACAGGGCTTTCCTCCTTACTCTTCTCCTTATAAAACTAACTGGCCTGCCAAGCTGTACAGTTTACTTGCTCAGGACAAGTTTTTGTGACCACATGCAAGCATCTTTCACTTTGAAGTTCATTTCACTTTGAAAGTCTGACTTGCCCAACTGTGAACAGATAGGATCCACTTGTTTGCGAGCAACAGTGAAAGGAAACAGGAGCCCTAATCCTTATGAAGGACGCGATTCAGTTGTTAAACCTTAATGGGTATCCAATGGCTTTTTCCAGGCACTCTACCAAAGAGCCAGCAGAAAGAAAATCCCTCTCCACTTCCACAAATTTTATGTAGATGGATTTAGGCGACACACCAGGGTCTACGATGCAGTTCTGAGATAAAAATCCATTGATCCCAACCCACTCTTTACTGAAGGTTTTGGTGTTTGCCTGAAAATGTAAAAACAAGCACTGCTGGAGAGTTCTTACCTCAGCAATGCCAAGGTAACAATAGATAATTCTGGTGGACTCCATATCCACCCTGAGAGAGGCCTGTGGTGAAGGGACATCTGTCTCCCCATGAGTCTCTTTGCCAGGATCTTGGCCTCTGCGGTCTGCAACAGGTGACTGGGGTTTATCATGGCACTCTTCATAACCAATAGCATACAAACCAGGGCTTTTGGGAATCCCCCCTGGTAATAAATACTGAACAACGTTTCCTCCAGTTGGCTTGGAGTGAGCTATAGGTATCCAGTCAATCTCCATGTGCAGCTCCAGGCATCTTGCTTCACTAATTGTAATCTCTAGGAATTTATAGTAAACATTTTTCCAGTTCATTTTCTGTACTCTGGTCATAATGACCCTGCCCTCTGGCTTCTCTGAATTGAAATATTCCCGAAGCCGTTTGCCGAGAGGCACCTGTGAACTGATCTCGGCATAGTGGTAACGAATATCCTCCTTCCAGCGTGTGTTATAACCAATGCCAAAAATGGCCAGTTTGTTAGAAAGGTGGAGCCTGGAGAAGTCTGTCCAGCTCTGAAACAGCTCCCATTTTAACTGGACCGATTCCAATATTTGCATAATATTCTGCATGACATCACGTTTTCTAGAAAAATGAACAAACATAAGCTGTAAGACAGAGCCCCACTCAGATCAGAATAAAATGTTTAGAACATCTCAAGTTTGAACAAGTGTATCAACTTTAGGAAAACAGACCCAGAACAAGAGCATTCAGAGACAAGCAGAGAACAGGGATATCAAACTCATCTGGACCCATGGGCTGAACCCAAAGCAGGGAACCAGGCCGCAGGCTGGTAATTTGGCAATGGCAGTGTTAATTTCTGCCCCCTCCTCTCACCAAATTTTCAGATGACACTGCTTCATGCTCTGAATCTGGCCTGTGAGGCTCTCCACGGGGCCAGAAATTTTGCGGCTGGAAAAGTGGTGATGGTGTTAACTGAATTATAGAAAATGAGGGTTGGAAGGGCCTTCAGGAGATCATCTAGTTCAACCTCCTGGTCAAAGCAGGACCATCCCCAACTAGATCATCTCAGACAAGGCTTTGTTGAGCTGGGTCCAAGGATGAAGATTCCACCACCTTTCTGGGTAACCTGTTCCAGTGCTTTACGAGCCTCTGAGTGAGAAAATTCTTCCAAATATCTAACCTAAACTTTTCCTGCTGCAACTTGAGACCATTGCTCCTTGTTCCGTCATCTGCCACCACTGAGAACAGTCTAGATCAGCGGATCCCATCCTCGGGTCATGACCCAAATGAAGGTCGTGGGGGCAATGCTGGCAGTGCCACACATGAAGGACGAGCTGCACCATGTGCCGGGAGCTCCCCCACCCCGGCCCCCGGGCCACCACCACACTCCGCTCCCAGCAGCAGGTCATAGCAAAAAAAAAAAAGAAGAAAGAAAAGAGGTTGGGAACTACTGGTCTAGATTCATCCTCTTTGGAACCACCCTTCAGGTAACTAAAGATTGCTATTAAATTCCCTCTGTCTTCTCCTGTCCAGACTAAATAAGCCCAGTTCCCTCAACCTCTCCTCAGAAGTCACTTGCTTCAGGCCCCCTAACCATTTTTGTTGCTCTCTGCTGTACTTTCTCCAATTTGGCTAAATTATACGCAATTGCTATGGCTGTGGGAGCTGCGGCAATTAACACTGCCATCACTTGTCCACATACCACATATCCAACCCCATGGGGAGCCCAGCAGGCTGGATGACAACTCTGTGGTCTAGATCTGACCCATGGATTGCATCTTTAATACCCTTAGAATATATGGAAAAAAGTGGTTCTCTTTCATTATTAATAATTTTGAGCAAACATCCCTATGATGCTCTGGGCAATGAGTTATGCAGTTAAAATAATTATCTATAAAGATATTATTTGTATATGGACAACTGTATCATTTGAAAAATCTGCACCTTTGAACTGACTATTCTTTCCCCAAGCTGCAACCTCTTTGTGATCCATAGACATGCAACTTACATTTCAAGAAACTTGAGATCACCTTCTGAAGACAGAACTTAATAATGTAATAAAATGCTCAAAAACTGGCAACATACCCTATCTTAGCAGAGGATTAGGGAGTATTAGGTTAAGTATACATGCTTTCACTTGCCAAAACTTATGCATTACAAAACTTGTGACTATGTACAGGTCAGGAGCTAAAGGTGATAAGCAGCCTAGTCCACAAATTACTTTTCGAAAAGACTGAAGCACAATAAATGTAGTCATCTGATTGCATGGTGTAGACCTGAAATAGCTTTGGAGAAGAGACAGAACTTCTAGGGATTCCACAAGCCTGTTTTGCCTTAAAAAATAAGACATCCTTAACTAACAATGCCAAAGGAAGCATTACTAAAGGGACTTACATATTTATAACTAATTTAGCAAGTATATTTGCATACATCAGGTACGAATATGAATTGCTCCATGTAGAACAGATGGGATATGCATTTATGACAACTCTTTTACAGAAATATTTATCCTGAGGACCAATAGCCAGCATTATCAAAGTCATAGGCAAGTATTACAGCTCTTTTGATAATTGAATGAAAATCTGGTTCAGTCCAACAAATCTCACTCACACAGCATGTGCCACTTCAATAATATTCAGAGTACATTTGTACTAGGTAATCATTTCTACAGCACAAACAGGATAGGGTTTGGGGACTTAGCAGCTATCTCCTCACTCTCCCAGCTTGAAGAAATTACATGCTGCATCTTTAGCCTTGTAGAAAATGGATGTTCTCCCTTCACCTAGAGAAAGGGAATGCCTGTCACAACTCCCACAGGCATTCCAAAGCCACCACTGGTAAATCAAGAGGCATTCAGTTCTTGCAGGTACAGCACTTCATGCACAGCTGAAGATGGGGGAAAGGATCTCTTGGAAGAGGGGGTATGAAGTGGAGAACGGAGAGCAGGAAATGAGGGGAGAACTGAAATGTGAGTGTTAAAAGGCAAGAAAACCAAGGAGAACATTAAGACAGAAGTATGCAGGAGAAAGAATCAGGTGACAGGAAGAAACTCTACTCTGGGTGACAGGGAAGCACCACTACTTCTGGGAAAGCCAAGTTGGTTTGGGACATGCATCTAATGGCATAAACAGCCCACTCATTAGGGAGGCAGTGAGACATGATAGACTCAGTTTCATTTTCAGCTCTGCTACATCCTCCCTGTGTGATCATGGACAATTTATGCTAGAAACAGATATCCTCAGCAAAGCAAAATCAGCTGTGCCTGATCTCACTCCAGAGGTATCTATAGATGTGCCCAATTGCTGTCCCAGGCCAAATCTACAAGTAGGGGACAACTCCCCTCCCCCAAGTTGGGGAGCAGGAGAATTCCCTGAGGTGGTTATTCCATGTGTACCTACAAGCACAGAGTGCCAGGGGGGACTCAAGCAGGGGTCTTGAACAGCCCCTTCCCCCTGCACATTTACAGTTGTGCATGGGCAAATCCTTCTCCAAGGGATTCCTTGTCCTGCACACAAGGGAGAGAAAACTTGCATTCCCCTTCCACACTTGCACTCCTCCCCTCCCCTCCACTTGCAGACACATGGGGGAAAATCCCCTGCAAGGTCTGGCTGAAAGCAAGGTTTGCTCCTACCCAGCCAGACCTGGGGCTTGGGTCTGGCTGAAGGGGGAAAACACCACAGAGGAAACAGATGTCTGCTGCAATAACAAGCCAGAGACTATTACCACCTTGTGTTGTGCCACTGATTTTCCTTTCATATGGCATAACAAAGGGTAACCAAAGTGTATTTGCTCAGTATTCATGATGCCATAAAAAATTGTTAGGGTGACACAAGTGAAATATCAGGCAGCGTCTGATGTTTCCACCCCCAGTGTCTCTGTAATTCAGCCCCCCATCTAAGACATTCAGATAGCACCAGTACTGCAATATGTAAGTATACAAGATAGAGGTAAGAGGAAGAGAACAAAAATCATTGCATCCTCATCACAGATAAGGAAACTCCTTTGAACATACATGTAAGACAGGTTTGAAAATATACTTTTTTTCCTTTAACACTGATGATCTCAATCGCAAAACTGCTCAGACCTGATGATGAATGTCTTGCATTTTAAAGCTTGTCTAACTTCATCCCAACTATGCAGGTGGTCCAATAAAAGCTAGCACCCTAAGAAATCGTTGCAAAATTCCTGGACAGTTATGGCTACAAAATTACTTTCAGATTACCAAGATGATTTTTTGCTTTGGATAATTCATAATCCACTTGGTATGAATTTCAAATTCTGGATGTGATGTGTACAAACCTCATGTAAGCAGACTGGTGACAGCCATTGTGTACTTCATAAACTAAGCCCAGATCAATTGGGTTAGGATTGTTTTTTTTCTATAAAATCTCTCCCTCATATATATGAGTAGTTGACTAGATGCATCAGCAGTAGAAGAGTGCACTGCTTCTCAGGAGAGCATTCAAAGGAGGACAGGGAGCTCTAACAAATCATTCTCTTTCGCAGTTTTCCTAAACTGCTATTGTCCACATTTGTTCATCAGCAAAGAGAAAGAGCCCAAAAGGTGTGGGGGTTTTTTCAAAGAAGTTCCTTGTGCTCCATCTTGCACAAGTTTATCATTTGAAGTGATACTGCTGCTTTCCTGAAAGCTTTACCAATATTCTTCTGGAAAAGGAAAATAGCCTAGCCTCCTCTCACATACACTCACCATTTTGGTGGAAAAAAATTCAAGGATGTGAACACCTAAGCTAACTCAAGAGCAGGGCTGACATCAGGCCCTGACCAACTATCAGCACCATAAAAAAGTAACACTACCATAAAAAGCAGAAGTATTTCTAAAGAGAATTGGAAACATTTTATTAATGCATTGGTCTGGGCCGAAAAGTAAAACTGAGTTATCAGAAAGCCAGCCAGCAAGGGGCCTGCTGGCTCTAGAAACCCTAGGAACAGAATTCTGCCTCAAACAACAGTTTGCCAAGAAACCTGTTGGATGCCAAGATTGTTTTAATGGGTTCCTTATTTAAAAATATTTTGTAGGAGAACTTATAATTGCTCAAAGTAACAAAAATATTGTATATTTAAGTGCACATGTATTTAGCCAAAATACATTTATATTAACACATGAAAGACTGTAGCATACAAGCCTGTACTTTTTCAATGGATAAAGGTGGAAAAAGCCTTTTCTATATGGCTTTTCTGTTGGTTCTTCTGATTCCAAGCCTCAGATGCTGAGCAGCACTGTCACTACAGCTTGGAATATGGCATCTCAAACTTTCCACTTTAGACATTTGGAATTGAAAGTTCATCATCTTCTAGGGACAAGACAGACAAGGTAACATTATAATTTGCTGTCTCATTTAAATACATTGTTGTCTGATAACACAGAATTGTGTAATACTGATAGCAGTGTTATTCATACATTTACTAAAATAACTAAGTTATTTTTTTCTTAGAAAAACAGTTCCATTTAAAATTAAATACAGTAGAAAGCAGTACTTGCATTGTTCAGTTAAACACTGAAAGAGACAGTTTAGAACGAAATGTCTTGAAAAATAGGATTGTACAATGAGATCAATAAACTTCACTCAAGCTGTGACTGAGGATCATGGTGAAAAAAAAGT